TTTCATTGGTTTTTCTGGGCAAAACTTACAGTTTATCACAGATATTTTTGTAATTAAACCTCAAACTCCATTAGAAAACTTATTCCTTGAGATCCTTTATGGTTTTTCGTCTTGTTTCTCATATACAAAACAGTTTTTAAGTCAGTATTAATTTTTGTAAAGTATTTTGGGACAATTCAGCCAATAATGCAAGGCTTTTCTGTCGTTTTCTTTTCCCGCTGAGGCTGTTTTGACCGACGGCGGCAGCCGCAACTCAAAGACTTCTCAGTATAAAATTGTAAAAAAGGCTCGAATGTAGTAAATATTCTTCTTCTTTATATTAGATGTCTTTTGAATGCAATAAATGGCCTAAAAGAGTTGAAATTGATATTAAAATATTGACTTCCTGGTCCGGGAAAACAGGGAAAAAACCAAGAATCAAAAACTCTGCAGCATCAATAGCAATTACCATTGATCCTATTACAAATACGAATACGGATCAGTCTTTGTTTTAGAGAAAAAATTGACGAAAGTAGATTTTCTTTCCGAAATTATAGCATTTAGAGGCAATAAATAAATATTTTAGAGTGTTTATTATTTGTCTATGAGACTGAAAACCATGAAAAATGAGATGAATTTCTCATATTTGTGAAATTAAATTGAATTTTACAACACTTCCACTTCTCAAACACTTACCAAACACTTCTGCTAAAAGTGTACACCACTTCCAACCATATTATCCACCCTTTGTCCTCAGCGATGGCCAGTGAGTACAATCAGCAATATGTTTGGCATTGTAATATTAAACCCTCGGCGACTGTTAAGCTATCGCACAATTTCAGGATTGTGCAGCGCTCTCGAGAGCGGGTAAACAGGATCTTTTGTGCGACCACCCCAATGTATATTTATGTATATCGCATGTTGGGGTTTGGGGTATGTTTTGTGTCCACTGATGGATTTATACCCCCGCCCCGATCGTGTGTGTGTGTGTGTTTGCGGAGCCAAAGGCGTAGCCAGAACTCATTTGGCTCTCATCAAGTGACTAGAAAGCACTTTGTGGCCATCGTGGCCAAATTTGAATCTCAACTGTCGGTATTTTCTGACAGTTTGCCCACTAATTCTTGGATTAAATTCATTTTCTTAGCTTTTAATCTCATATTTCTACAAGAATCCACTTAAAACCGCTCATTCTGGGCGTCCTAATCAAACATAACCTCAAAATATCACTAATAAATCTTCAAAGATTCATTTTGACAGCTTTCCAGATCACAAAATCACCAAAAACTGCTCATTCAGGATCAAAATAGCCCAGAAAGTTTTCTAAATGAACATTTTCAATGTCTAAATCAAAAATTTTGAGGTTATGTTCAATTTTTCTCACAATTTACTGTGTTTCTCGACATAATTCTGTCAATTACTAGCGATCTTTTCCATTTTAGCATGAGAATTGATGTGCTAGACATCAATTTGATACATTACATAACCTAGAAAATGCTTTTGTGTTTGTTTCCAGTGCATAAAAGAAAAGATATTCAACGAATTGGGACAATTTAAGTGAAAATGAACCTCGGAAGCACTTGTCAAGTGGTCAGTGTGGCCAGACGTCAGTAGAGACATCTGTGAGTAATAATTTTAATAGGTTCTTTTGACCATAACCTCAAATATCGTCAAAAAATATCGAAAAACGCCATTTAAAAGTCAACAATAGCTTCAATTATTGAATAATAAATTCAAAATGTCTTATTTTGTGTCTAAAATTAGTCAGAGATCGTTCTAAGTAATTATTTTCTAAGTGCAAAATATTATTTTTGAGGTTATGTCACACTTGAGCACAATTCAAAGCGTTTCCTCCTCTCAATTATCAAGAAAAGTGTCAATTTTCTGCAATCTTTCCGACTTAATCATAAGAATTAATATTAAATTGAGGTTAAATATGTCTTAAATGTGTCACATAACCTAGAAAAACACCAGGAAGATCTTTTTTTTTGTGATAAAGAAGAGTCTGAAAGAACCCCAGAGACTCTCATCGTCTCTACGTCCTTGTGCGGAGCCTTGAATGCGAAGCAAAGTGGGTCGAGAGCACCAATTTTAACCCGTGCCGTCACAATGGAAGAGGCGCACCCCCAAAATCGAATGACAACCTCAAGATATTTGCTCCAGTGTCCCGTAAATTACAGGCAGATACGCCTCCCAAGACTCCTCTGCCAGCGGCAGGACCTTTCAATAACCACCCGCCCCCGACTCAATGGGGGCTGCTCAACAGGAGCAGCGCCCGTTTTGCTCAACAATGCGCACAACATCTCCAATTCACATGCTTCAGGTGAATTTCAATCAACAAACAGGTGTTCGGCCCCTGAACAGATTGCGAATCAGGACTTCGACAGCAATTCATCAGGCTCTCGAGGAGCACCTCAATTGGCAAAGGCCGGAAGTTTAACTCTTTAACAAGGAGAATTTTTGAGTGATGGAATGCATAATGCTTTGATTCGAAAGGATGTAATACAGTGGCTGCCAATGAAATACAGTGACTCCAAATTGAATAGAGCCACTTGGAGGCTCTGTGACAAATCTCTGTGTGCTACGAATTTTCACGTGAAGCTAGAGATCTGAAATTTTCCACCAATCTTCCCTCCTTAATGAGTAATTATCATGCCAAGTATGAAAATATTCGGCCTACCCAGTAAAAACCAATCCGCTATCCGCCGTTTTTCCACCACATTTCCGTCATGTTGCTCCAGAGCCCAAATTATGCTTTGCTGGATTCGTGCACGAAATCCATCGTCAAGGGGTAAACATGTGCCACTCTGAGTGAACCCGGATTGCGAAGATTGTGTGATTGCGCCTAAAGATTGCGGATTGCGCTTAAGATTGCGATTTTACACTAAGGATTGCGGATTGCGCTTAAGATTGCGATTTTACACTAAGGATTGCGGATTGCGCTTAAGATTGCGCTTAGAATTGCGGTGATTGCGCCAAAATATTGCGATTTTACTCCTGGGATTGCGGATTGCGCTTTAGATTGCGATTTTACTCCTGGGATTGCGGATTGCGCGCAAAGATTGCAATTTTACTCCTGGGATTGCGGATTGCGCGCAAAGATTGCAATTTTACTCCTGGGATTGCGGATTGCGTTTGGGATTGCGAAGATTGCGAAGATTGCGTTCTGAGTGAACCGTGATTGCGCCACATGTTTACCCCTTGTCCATCGTCAAATCCGCCATCTAAAAATGACGGAGTCCCGCTGCAGGATTCCTTTAAGAATCCTGCAGCCGAATTCCCTCACCCTGAGTGGCTGAGACACTGGAAGCGCCGGGACGAAAGATTTGCCATGACGGATTAATGCAGGATTCTTGCGGGAGAATTCCACCGCAATTCCTGCATTTTCTTTCTCAAATGCAGGAATTGCGGTGGAATTCTCCCGCAAGAATCCTCCACTATTCCGCTATTTGAAACGAAAACGGCGGAAACGCGGCAGAAGCGTCCTGCAGAATTTCTACCACGAATCCTTGAAGTTAAATCCCTCTTCCTGAGTGGCGGAGATGCCGATTGTACCGGGACGAAAGATTTGCAGGACGTTTCTGCCGCGTTTCCGTCGTTTTCGTCTCAAATAGCGGAAAAGTGGAGGAATCTTGCAAGACGCTTCCGCCATATTTCCACTATTCAAGTGGGGGGAATTTGAGTTGTGGATTCTTGGTGGAATCTTGCAGAGCATTCCGCAATGACTGAATTGCCTATATTTCGGAGATTGTCTTTCAAGATGGCAGCTGTCAAAAGTGGGTGGGGAAAAGTCACGCATTTTATCCTCAATATTGGGGAAATAAGGCTTTTGGGTGTGCATATTTGCAGTTTTTCGATGATTTCACATTGATATCCTTGAGAAGCAATGAGAATTTCGGGAAAAAAAATTTTTTTTAAGGGTTTTTCAACCATTTTTCCAAAAATCGGCATATTTCCGGTGCGGAAAGTACTTTTTCCCCTTTCTACTCATCCTGTACCGTGGAAGCATCCTTGCACCTGGTTCTTTATTATAATAAGTGTGAAAAAGGACTTATTTGCGTACTTGAAAATGTCTTGGTGAAATTCCAAGTCGCCATTTTTAATATTGTGAAATTCTCTTGTGTGTCATCAACATGTCACATTTTGTGAATCACAGCGCCACCTCGAAGAATTGGTCCGAAGCGCGCCATATTCAAACTGCAGGTTCACTTTATGATGGATTTTCAGTGGACTTTCTGCAGGAATCCCGCAGGAAAGTCCATTGAAAATCCATCGTTTTGGGTCCTGTTCATCCCTGAAGGATTTTCAATGAACCCCTCCTGAGGGATTCCCGCAGGAAAGTCCACTGAAAAACCATTGAAAAGAGGCCCAAGAGGTTTCTTTTACGTGCTTAAGAGGTGTGGAAAAACCATTGACTTCCCTGCAAGAGTCCCCATTGAAAAACCAGTGGATATCCGCGGACAGGCTCCATACAAATTTGTGTATAAAAATCTGAGGGAATCCCGAGGGACGTTTCCTTCAAAAATCCACTGGGGAACAAGAGACCGCGACCGGTGGGAATCCCGCGGTTTTCCATCGTGGCTGTTTTTACTGGGTATGATTTAAAAGTATTAAAATATTTTACTGAGTAACAAAGCGTGCGTCATTGGTCCTTATTTCTTTGGCGGCCACTGTGCATATATTCTCGTGAGAAATTAATGAGTAACCGCGCTGATGTTTGCCACCCTTCGCTTTTCCCACTGTGAGAGGGATGATTTTCGATTTGCCATGCCACTGAATGCAAATTGCTTAAGCACAAATATAACCCCAAAAACGTAATCCTCTGAAATTGACTGCCAAGAAGAATTATTTCAATTTCACTCTGAATAAATTTTCCATGTGTGTGTTTTTGGCTTTCAATTTTCCCCCTGGTCGATGGGGGTGGAAGTGGGGGTGGGGGTGGCTTTTCCTCCAGAGTGAGAAAACACACCATCCCGAGCTATTTACGATTAATTAGCATGAGCAAGCAATTAATGTTTACTCACCGTGAATCAATTCGAGTCAAGCGCTCGAGACGATCGAGTTGCAGCTCTCGCAAGTTGAATAAATTCAATAGCGCCACCGCGGGCAAATATGAGAAACTATTTCCACTCAGTGATAAATTCGTTAGATTCGACAGCTTCGACAATTGTACGGTCGGCATTACCTGTAGAGAAAGGGAGAAAAAGGGAGAAGTGTGAGGGAATTTAAATAAGACACCACCATTAAATTTATTTGCTTTTCAGCACGACAAGTCAGCAGTCAAGGGGGAGATAATGCGGTTAAAACAGTGTTTAACACTTCCTGTCACTTCCACCATTGATTTAAGAGAATCACAGACACTTTCTGACCTTCAGCAGTGCTTAAAACATGAGTTTTTCTTATTTTCCTCACATTTTAAGTCTCATAACCTCAAATTTAAGATCTTAATCTGCAAATATCTTGCAAAAATGAATCAATCAGCAATTGTGGCTGTAATTTTCAAGCATGAACATGAAAAATATTTGCACTAAAGTCTTTTTATCGTGGATTTAATTAAGATTTACTTGAAGGATCATTTTGTCCTGGAGACTGTGATAAATGTTAAAAATTTAGGCAAATCACAGACACTTCCTTGCCTTCAGCAGTGCTTAAAACATGAGTTTTTCTTACTTTACGAACTTTTTAAGTATCATAACCTCAAATTTAAGATCTTAATCTGCAAATATCTTGCAAAAATCAATCAATCAGCAATTGTGGCTGTAATTTTCAAGCATGAATATGAAAAATATTTGCACTAAAGTCTTTTTATCGTGGATTTAATTAAGATTTACTTGAAGGATCGTTTTGTCCTGGAGACTGTGATAAATGTTAAAAATTTAGGCAAATCACAGACACTTCCTTGCCTTCAGCAGTGCTTAAAACATGAGTTTTTCTTACTTTACGAACTTTTTAAGTATCATAACCTCAAATTTAAGATCTTAATCTGCAAATATCTTGCAAAAATCAATCAATCAGCAATTGTGGCTGTAATTTTCAAGCATGAATATGAAAAATATTTGCACTAAAGTCTTTTTATCGTGGATTTAATTAAGATTTACTTGAAGGATCGTTTTGTCCTGGAGACTGTGATAAATGTTAAAAATTTAGGCAAATCACAGACACTTCCTTGCCTTCAGCAGTGCTTAAAACATGAGTTTTTCTTACTTTACGAACTTTTTAAGTATCATAACCTCAAATTTAAGAGTTTTAGACCTAAAATGACGCCATTTTTTATCCGTGCGACTCTTAAAACTTCCAGAGAATCTGTTTTTAGGATTGATTTGAAGTTTTCAGCGCATCTTAGCGAACATAAAATGCTCAGTTTCAAAAGTTGAGCTTGAAATAGTTGATTTTTAAGCTATTTTTCGCTCAAATTTTAGCAATTCGATTGATACACTAGCAAATGTAGTGACGAACAGTCAAACTACTGATTCGGCACTTAAATGCACAGATGTCGCATCATGCAAAGCGATGTCATTTCAATAATATACTTCATGATAACAACACTCAAGTGAATTGTATAAAGAGCGCCATGAAAATAACCTCAAAAATGAGAGGATTGAAGGAAAGTCAATGGAAGTTAGACTTCCGGTTTTCCTGCTTCATTTCAATCAGAAAAAAGCTCAAAATTGAGTACAGTGTTGTTTAGCGAAAAAGAGCAGAAAAATTCGGAAAAATTTGAAGAATGCTAAGAAAATTGATGAAAAATTTAGCTAAAAAACTGTACTACAAATTGATGTATTTTTAATACATTTTTTGGTCGATTGCTGCTCAAATTTTAGCACTTTTTAGCTAAATTAACTGCTTTTTTTTAAGTTATTTTAGCTCGCTGGGATATTTTGATGAAATTTTGACCATAACCTCAAAATTATCTTGATTTATCGAAAATATTCCTTAAAAGAAACTCATTCTTGTTGTTTTAAAGACAAATTTGGGGAATAATAATCTGTTATTAATCAAAAATGAAGTGAAATTTGCAATTTTAGTAAAGAAAATTACTCAAAAAGCTCTAAAAATTGACAATTTTGTAATCTTAAGCTGTATTTTAGAGGTTATGTGTCAATTTTAGCCAAGGGGCAAATCACAAGAGGCGATTTTTGAGGAAACTTAATGTTTTCTAATCAAATAATCAATTATTTGAGTAAAAAAATCAAAAAATTAATATTTTCTCAAATAAAATTGAAAAATAATCAAATTTTGAATAAAATAATTTTTAAAAATCAATATTTTCTCAAATAAAATTACAAAAATTAATATAACCAAATATTGAATTAAATAATTAAAAAAAAAGAATATTTTCTTAAGTGAATTTTGAAAAATTATCATATTTTAAATAAAATAATCAAAAAATTATTGTTTTCTAAATTAAAATTGCAAAATAATCAAATTTTGAATAAATAAAAATAAGAGAAAAAATATTTTCAAAAGTAAAATAGAAAAATATTCAAATTCTACATGAAATATAAAAAAAAGTTTTTTTTTTCAATCAATCAATCAGAATATTCATAATTATTCAATTATATGCAAAATTTTGAAAAAAATATTCAGAAAATAATCAGAAAATAATCCAAATTTTGTATGAAATGATCAAAATTTGTAAAAATCAAAAATAATAAGTTATGATTTTTATTCAAATTTTGATTATTTTTTGATTATAATAAAAAAAAATCAGAATTTTTTTTGTCAAATAATCAATTTTTAATCGAATATTCAGAAAATAATCAAGAAATAATCAAAATTTGAGTAATTAATCACAAAGTTAATAGTCTCAACTTGCGGAGTGATTTTCCCCTTGATTTTAGCTTTAATTAACACAGTTTAACATTGAAAGCTTGTGATTTTCATCAGATTTCTTCATGAAAGTGATAAATTTGGGGTTTTCCGATGTTATTCAGTCACTAAATTATACTTAAAGTCAGTTTTAAGAAAATAGTGTAAAAAATCTTCAAAGTATTGTATTTATTCTTGGAAATATTCAAGCAATTCCACGGGCAAATAGTTTCCAAATGAATATCTCCCCCTTGGCAGGAGGAGGAGGAATTGTCGCAGGGCTCTATGATCGTTGGCTGCAGTTGGAAATTCAATTAGAAATTTCACCTGCACTGCCAATATTGACAGACACACCGTTTCACAAACTTCACTCGCAATTTTCTCAACTCGCACACACACTTGTTGTTTTTACCAACCCGAGTCTGTCTCAACATTTGTCCAAGCTTCCATTTGCTGTAGCAGCAGCAGAAGAGGGACAAATTAGACAAACACTCAGCTATTTAGGGCACAAAAGGACACTCGCCCAGCGACAATTGACGCTACAAAGTGTTTTTGGGAAAAGTGATGAGTTTGAAACTATATTGTGAAGTCATCAAAGTCACTTGTTCGATTTACGCGTCGAAAGGAAAGAGTTTGCCGATAAAGATAGTTAAAACCAAGGGGCAAATCACAAGGGGCGATTTTTGAGGAAACTTAATGTTTTCTAATCAAATAATCAATAATTTCAGTAAAATAATCCAAAAAATGATTATTTTCCCAAGTAAAAATTAAAAAATCATCAAATTATGAATAAAATATTTTAAAAATTTATATTTTTCCAAGTAAAATTGAAAAAATAATAAAATTCAAAATTAAATAATTTTAAAAATTAATATTTTCCCAAGTAGAATTGAAAAAAAAATTAAAAATAATCAAATTATGATTTGAATAATAAAAAAAAGATTTTTTTCTCAACTAAGATTGAAAAAAAATCTAATTTTGAATAAATAATCAAAGAAAAGATTATTTTCCCGAGTAAAATGACCAAAAAAAGCAAAATAACCAAATAAAATAGTCAAAAAATTATTATTTTCTCAAACAAAAATTGAAAAATAATTGAAAAAAAATTATTTTCCCAAATAAAATGACAAAAAATCAAAATAACCAAAAATTGATTGAAAAAAATAAAAAAATTAATATTTTCTCACACAAAAATTGAAAAATAATTGAAAAAAATGATTATTTTCCCAAATAAAATGACAAAAAATCAAAATAACCAAAAATTGATTGAAAAAAATTAAAAAATGAATATTTTCTCAAGTAAATTTTGAAAAATAATCATATTTTGAATTAAATTATCAAAAAAAAAGATTATTTTCCAAAGAAAAGTTGAGAAAGTAAACAAATTTTGGATGACATAATAAAAAAATAAATATTTTCCAAAGCAAAATTGAAAAATAATCACATTCTAAAAAAAAATATCAAAAAAAAAGATTTTTTTCCATCAATAATAATCAATGAATCAGAATATTCACAATTATTCAATTATATTCAAAATTTGATTAAATATATTCCGAAAATAATTTCAAAAAAATCAAAAAATAATCAAATTCTTATCAAATATTTAGAAAATAATCAAAAAATACCTATTTCATTCGAATTTTTTTTTTCAATTTTGCATTGGAAAATAATAATTTTTTGATTTATTTTTGTTGATTTAATTTTTTTGCAAAATTATTATTTTGGAAAATATTCAATTTTTTGATCACTTAATTCAGAATTTGATTATTAAGATTTTTATGTAATTTTACTTGGGAAGTTTTTTTTTGATTATTTTATTCAAAATATGATTATTTTTCAAAATTTACTTGAGAAAATATTAATTTTTTTTTAATTATTTAATTTAATATTTGTTTTTTTTTTATTTTTTGTAATTTTATTTGAGAAAATATTCATTTTTTGACTCTTTTATTTAGTATTTGGTTAGAATGAAGTTTTTTTTTGTTATTTCGCTCGGGAAAATAAACTTTTTTTTTATTATTTATTCAAAATTAGATTTTTTTTTCAATGTTAGTTGAGAAAATAATAATGTTTTAAATTATTTAAATCATAATTTGATTATTTTGATTTTTTTTTCAATTTTCCTTGGGAAAATAATCATTTTTGGATTATTTTGATATTTTCCCCTTGATTTTTTTCTCTTATTCTTAATCAATTTTGAGGTTAGGAAGCAAAAATCTAGAGAGAAAATTAGTTTTTCACACTAAAAGCAGTCTTTTATGTCTTAAAACTTTCTTACTAAAGCTTCTGAGGGATGTTTTTTTAAAGAATTTTATTTTACATCTCAACTTTTCATATTATCTGCGATCATAACCTAAAAAAATATAAAGAAATCTT